TCCCCCCGGGCCGCCCGGGGCCGGAGGCAGCAGCGCGGGCGCGTGGTCGTTCTCGTCCAGCACGAACACCTGCAGCGTCACGGTGCTGCCCAGAGGAGGCTCGCCCGCGTCGCGCGCGCTCACCTGGAACTGCAGCAGCTCCAGCTCCTCGCGGTCCAGCGGCTGCAGCGCGGACACCTGGCCGCTCTCCGCGTGCACCGACACGTAGCTCGACAGCGCGCGCTCGCCCACCCGCCGCTCCACCAGCGAGTAGGACACCCGCGCGTTCTCCTGCGCGTCCGCGTCCCGCGCCGACACCGTGAAGATGTGGCCGCCGGGCGGGTTGTTCTCCTTCACGAACACCGTGTGCTCGGGCTGCGCGAACAGCGGCGCGTTGTCGTTCACGTCGGCCACCTCCACGGACACGCTGGCTGTGGACGACAGAGAAGGCGATCCCCCGTCCCGCGCGGTCACTACTACAGCGTAGTCCGACTCGCTCTCACGGTCCAGGGCGCTGTCCAGCACCAGTGAATAGTAATTCTTGAATGTGGACACCAGCTTGAAGGGGACATGCGGTGTTAATAAGCAGGTCACCTGTCCGTTAGTGCCAGAGTCACGGTCGGACACGCTGACCAAGGCAATGACGGTGCCCACCTGAGCATCCTCTGGCACCGGGAGTGACAGAGAAGTGATAGCAACTTCTGGAGTGTTATCATTTATGTCTAGTATTTCCACCAAAATGGTACAATGACCCGCCATGGGAATATTCCCCTGGTCAACTGCCTCAACGGGTATTTCATAAAATTTCTCTTCTTCAAAATCCAGTTTACCTTTGGTCCTAATTTCTCCACTGTTGGGATTTATGATAAATGCATTCAATACTGCAGGCGACACAGGCCTTCTAAATGAGTAGATTATATCTCCATTTATCCCATCATCAGGATCTGTGGCATTTAGCTTGAACACTAATGTTCCATTGAATGCGTTCTCTAAAACTTTCACCTTGTAAATGAATTTGTCAAATTCTGGGGCGTTGTCATTCACATCCAGAACTGTGATCAGCAGCTGAACGGTGCCGGTCAGCTCGGGTTTACCTCCATCAGTGGCTGTCAGCAATAACCTGTGTTCCTGGATTTCCTCTCTGTCCAGTGGTTTCCTCAACACAAGTGATAACGAAGACGTTTGTTGACGGTTATGTTGTGTGTCCAGCGCGAAATAATCGCTGGGATCCATTCGGTAGGTCAAGGCGGAGTTTACTCCAACATCTGCATCGGAAGCGCCATCTAGTGGAAACCGAGTTTCCGGAGGTCTAGATTCTGCAATGATTATTCTTTTCTTATTTTCAGGAAAGACGGGCGGGTGGTCGTTAATGTCCTTCACCTCCACCTCCACGTGGAACACCTGCAGCGGCCGCTCCACCACCACCTCCAGGTGGATGCTGCACTCCGCGCTCCGCCCGCACAGCTCCTCGCGGTCGATCCGAGAATTCACAAACAAAATGCCATTCTGCAGATTTACCTCCAGGAGGTCCCCGCGGCCCTTGGACGCCACCCGGAACAGGCGCGGCCCCAGCCTCCAGCCCCAGGTCCTGCGCGATGCGGCCCACGAAGGTGCCGTGCTTGGCCTCCTCCGGGACCGCGTAGTGGACCTGGCCGCTCCCCGCCTTCCAGATTGTGAGGAGCAAAAGCGAGAGCAGCAAACGTCGGGTTCCTGGGCCTCCTCGCCGGGAAAACAGCATGGTACACTCAAAAGGCTTCAGAAATATCTGAAGTATATAGAATACCTTACCTCAAACTGACTCTCCAGATCCAATTATACGGCCTTCTATCGTGGGAGAATTCGCTAGAGGTTTTCCACTCTATGCCAAATTTTCTGCAGGAGGAGGAAGCGGAGGCGCGTTCTTAGAGGAAACGTTCTCAGTGAAGAGCGACACCATGCGCATGAATGTGTAAGTGTAAAATGATTCTGTCTTCACGTTTTCCGTTTTGGTAGGGTGTTTTGTTTCTGTTTTACTTTTTCTGAGGTTTTTCACTGCAGATAGGTAACTGTTTTTCTTTCCAAAAGCAGTAAATCACTGTATTCTGCTCAGCATTGGTTGTTAATTGAAAAATGGTTGGTGAGTTCCTTTTTTCATAAGTATATTTTTGCATGTGTAAAACTTCCATGCAGAATTTTAAGAGGGGGAGTATTGTACATGGACTTTTGAAAATCAGCCTCTACTTCTGTGAAGCTTTGTAGGTTTTGGTGAGAATGTTCTTTTCCTGTAATATTTTTTGAGATCTGCTCAACACTACAGCCATGGACTCCAAATGGAAATATAACCAATCTCATAATAAAACGTATGAACATGGAAAATAATCATAAGTAATAAACCAGATTTTAAATAAATACATCATGTTTATAAATTACCCCAAATATGACTGTGAAATGTGACTAAAATATTTGTATTTTAAGTAAGTGTCCAGTGTGTGTAGGCGTTTACATGTGAATGTGTATGTGTGCATAAACACAACATTTTAGGCCATTTAGATATAACAATGCTTTAAAGTTCTGGATTCTCTTTGTATAAAACATGCCAATAACTAGCATGCCAAGAATTATGTATTTGGCGGAATATAAATTACTTACCAATAGTTTAAACTTCCCTTCCCCATCTTACACCATCACTGGGGGAAATCTTACTATCATTTAAATTAACTGATTTTCCAAGCAACAACAGGTTGACACAGATGTTAACAGAAGGAAGGGAGGAAGGGAATATTACCTTAACCTATTGCTATAACTAACATTACCATGCCCCACGTTCCAGGCCAAGTAGTGCTATGAAAGATATGGAATAGCTCCAATAATTCTCTTGCCTGTTCTATGCAAACTTCAGGAAATAATAGTTGAGATCATTTCAGTATTTTTGTTCCACTCTGAAAATTTGAGTAATGTATTTGGTATTCTCTTTTTTTTAATATATTTTATTGATTTTTTACAGAGAGGAAGGGAGAGAGATAGAAAGTTAGAAACATCGATGAGAGAGGAACATCGATCAGCCGCCTCCTGCACATCTCCTACTGGGGATGTGCCTGCAACCCAGGTACATGCCCTTGACCGGAATCGAACCCGGGACCCTTCAGTCCGCAAGCCGACGCTCTATTCACTGAGCCAAACCGGTTTCGGCGGTATTCTCTTATCTTCATCTTTATCTTCCTCTCCTGCTCCCTGACTTTTATTAACATAGCTTTATTGTTTTAAAATTTTTTTATTGAGTTTTAGAGACAGAGGAAGGGAGAGGGAGAAACATCAATCGGATGCCTCCTGGATGCCCCCTACCAGGGATCGAACCAGCAACCAGAGCATGTGCCATGACTAGGAATTGAAACAGTAAGCTTTGGGGTGCATGAGATGATGCCCAGTCAACTGAGCCACACTGGCCAGGGCAACATAGCTTTTCTCTTACAATGAGAATAACCCCTTGATTCTTTCTAATTGTTCTTGTTTATCAGGCCTTAACTTGTCTCACTTATTTTTCTACCTAATCTAGACTGCATAGTCAATCATTTAAAACATACCCTTCCAGACACTCACGTACTTATACTATTACATCTCTAATATTTTCTCTTTTTTTCACTTCATTCGTTTACTTTATCCTTTAGATAATAATGAATGAAACAGTAAAACCACATGTAGAATAAAAAACCACATTAATTATTAAGCCCAATGTCCATTCCTAATACTTCCTTTTCTGTATATTTTAGCATATCAATAAAATGATTTGCTAATATCAATTAATTAAATTAATAGCAAAATAATTTCGAGTCCGTGTTTTTTGTTTGTATAGGATAAATACGAAAATTATTTAATCAACCCTAATGTTTTCTTTAGCTTCCAGCACACAGCCTAACTACCCATTTTCTTCATATCAAGCTCCTCAGTATAAGATAGTCGTTTAGTCATGAGACTTTATTCTCTATAGGTTTACTCTCACTTTTACTTCAATTGGGCCCTCAGATGAATGCATAATTAACTATTCCCAGATGCCTACAAAGATTCCTCCATATTCTTTTCCCTCTTGTCTCAAATTCTCAACCTCTTTCCCACCAACTGGTTCTCAGATGATTTACCCAAAGTAATAAGTCATCAATATGAATTCAATGCCTCTCTTCTTATATCAACACTAGAGGCCCAGTGCACGAAATTTGTGCGGGGGCGGGGGGGCGTCCCTCAGCCCAGCCTGCACCCTCTCCAATCTGGGACCCCTTGGGGAATGTCTGACTGCTGGTTTAGGCCCAATCGGGATCGGGCCTAAACTGGCAGTCAGACATCCCTCTCACAACCTGGGACTGCTGGCTCCTAACCACTCGCCTGCCTGTCTACCTAATTGCCCCTAACCACTTCTGCCTGCCAGCCTGATTGCCCCTTAACTGCTCCCTTCCTGGCCTGATTGACGCCTAACTGCTCCCCTGCTGGCCTGATCACCTCCAACTGCCCTCCCCTGCTGGTCTGTTTGCCCCCAACTGCCCTCCCCTGCTGCCCCAATCACCCCCAACTGCCCTCCCCTGCTGGTCTGGTCATCCCCAACTGGCCTCCCCTGCTGGCCTGATCACCCACAACTGCCCTCTCCTGCCAGCCATCTTGTGGTGGCCATCTTGTGATGACGTCGCATGTGGCAACACCTAGGCTTTTATTATATAGGATAGTTTCATAAAAGATATGATGTTTTAATAACTTTTGAGTCTGAAATCTCTTATATTTTAATCTGGTTGCCTACTTTGAAATAAAGAATGTTTTTAGCCCATTAATACTGAGGTTCAAAGGGTCATGACCAGAGGTCCAAGAATGGGTTTCAGCATGGGTCCTGCAATATTATGCCAAATGGTATGCTGTGTAATTTTAAGGGGAGAATGGCCACATGTGACTTTTGTTGGATTCCCAAAGAGGTCAATGATTCCATCACCCTGTATGTAGCTAAGAACCAGTGAATTAGAAAAATGACCTAGCGGTAAATGATCTTTGCTAGAAACTTCAGGTGTGATACCAAATGGAAAGATAATTTCACAGACATTAGAAATAAAGCATTAAAAGATAGAAAATTTGAAAGGTGATATGGATGAAACTGATCATTGTTAACAGGCTTCATGTTATCACAGTTAACTTTTTCCTTCCTAGATAAATCTTTAAAACAACAAAAAACAGGAAAATTGCCAACTAGAATGTTTTGCAGATATTATAAGCCTATACACATGCCTTTAGCAAATTTGAATGACTTGATTGCATAATATAAATAACCTTATTTGCCTACTTTACTTGGAAGCATAAATCTAGGAGTTCTGGTTGAGTATCCTATATAATAAAAGAGAAACATGTAAATTGACCATCCCTCCACTATGCTCACCAGCCAATCAGGAGTGAGTATGCAAATTAACCTGACAAAGCTGGCAGGTTGATTTGCATGTGCAGGTGTCAAGTGCCCCAGGAGGCAATGGCAGCTTCTGGCTCCTGGGACCTTCGCAGGCCCTGGGAGGCGAGGCCAGCCATGCCTAGCCACTCCTGCGGGCTCCCAGGACCTTCGCCAGCAGAGAGCAGAGCAGGAGAGTGGGCGGAGAGTGGGAGGTGTGGAGGACTTGGCAGAGCAGGAGGCTGCTGGACATAGAGCAGAGCAAGAGAGAGGGTGGCTTGGAGGGTGTGGCTCCCTCTGTCACCCCAGCTTCCTCATCACAGCTGTGGAAACTGACAGCAGGGAAGAGGAAGTCCCACCCCCACAGAATCAGCCAGAATCAGCCATTGGTCAGACAGCTCTCAGCGGCCTGACAGCAAGGACTCTCATTCACCTGCATCTCAGACAGTGACAGTAGAGAGGTGAGACTATGTCTAAAGAACAACTGTTGATACAACATAGTTCCGCAGCCAAAAGATGCCGGTGTTATCGACAGAAAATGTCTGAAGAGCAAAGTGCGTCTCATCTTGAAAGAAGGCAGCACCTGTGACAGAATGTATCTGAAGACCATCTACTGGAAACATGTCACTCTGATGCCAAAAAACACCAGCGTCATCAACAGAAAATGTCTAAAGACCAACGTGCCTTTGAAGTTGAAAGAAGGTGGTAGCGACGACAGAATATGTCTAGAGAACAGTCATCAATAAGTACTACCAATACGGGTAGGAACTGCCTTCTCAGCAAAAATGGAGTACATGAGGATGCAATTCTCGAACATAGTTGTGGTGGAATGACTGTTCGATGTGAATTTTGCCTATTACTAAATTTCTCTGATAAAAAAATCATCCAATGGGAAATTTACTCAATGTAGCAAAGGGAAATGCCAAGTTCCTACTACCCTTCTCAGTGCTTCTTTCTTGGCATATAAAATAACTGATGCAAGGACACATTCTGCCTTTAAAATAGCTTATTTGAAACCTATCCATATGAGGAAAATACTTACAGAAACCCCATGAATCCTATTCCAGCCTTCCATCTTTATCTACCATGATAATTGTTCTTGTATCTATTTATCTGTAGGTAT